ATCGTCAAGGTAAGGTCACGGCCTTGATTGTGTATGTAGATGATATGATTATTACGGGAGATGACTCTGAGGAAATAGCAAAACTTCAAACACAACTGGCAACCGAATTTGAGATGAAAAATCTAGGTGGACTCAAATATTTCCTAGGTATCGAAGTTGCTAGGTCGAAGAAAGGCATCTTTCTATCTCAACGAAAATATATCCTGGATCTTTTATCAGAGGTTGGGCTACTAGACTGTAAACCTGTAGACACTCCAATTGTCCAGAATCACCGACTTGGAGAATATCCAGAGCAAGTGTCAACAGACAAAGGAAGGTACCAGAGATTAGTTGGCAAACTTATTTATTTATCTCATACACGACCTGATATAGCGTATGCGGTAAGTGTAGTAAGCCAATTTATGCATAACCCGAGTAAAGATCACATGGACGCGGTAATTCGAATCATGCGGTATCTGAAGTCCTCGCCTGGAAAAGGCTTGATGTTCACAAAGAATAATCATGTACAAGTTGAAGGCTATACAGACGCTGACTGGGCAGGAGATATCACCAACAGGAAATCCACCTCAGGCTATTTTACGTTTGTTGGAGGAAATTTGGTTACATGGAAAAGTAAGAAACAAAAGGTTGTAGCATTATCAAGTGCCGAAGCAGAGTTTCGAGGGATGGCTAAAGGTCTTTGTGAGCTTCTCTGGCTTCGAAGACTGTTAAGTGAAATTGGCCATGCTCTGAATAATGCCATGAACCTTTTTTGTGACAACAAGTCTGCAATTGAAATTGCTCATAATCCGGTCCAACATGATCGGACAAAACACGTGGAAGTAGATCGACACTTTATTAAGCAAAATTTGGAGACCAAGATAATTCAATTTCCGTTTGTTAAATCTGAAGATCAATTAGCAGATATACTCACAAAAGCTGTATGTAGCAGAGACTTCTACAACGCACTTGACAAGTTGGGCATTCGAGATCTCTATGCACCAACTTGAGGGGGAGTGTTGGCATTAGCTGTCAGCATGGTTTTAGAAATTATAATAGGAATAGAGTTATTATTTGTTAATTATTCTGATTTGGTCATAATTAGAAATAGGATTTTCTATGTATATAAGTATAACCTATTCCTCTCCTGTAAGATATACAAAAAAGAAAATAATATGAGATTTACGTATCAGTTTAACAAAAAGCTCATTTAAATCATTTAAAACATTGCAAGTCTTAAAACCCCTAAACAGTCAGGGGTAGTTATGAGTCAGTTTATGGGTTGAATCCAATTGTTTAATGACCTGATCGAAACGGGTCTAAAGCGGGTAAAAACAAAAAATGGATCGATGGGATTTCAAGGTCCCACGATTTAAAGATCTTTCTCTAGGAGTTCAACGCTCCAGCCAAATCCAAGATCTTTGTGCCAGTTAAATCGGTGGCCGGTTGTTGGAGCGTAAGATCGTAAGATTTTGGGAGTTAGAGCGAGATCCCGACAACCATGGCCGGGATAAGTGCGTAGTTGGAATTTGGAAACTGTAGGGACTGAGTATTGAGAACTTGTTCTCATCTCAGTAGAGGGGTATTCTCAATTCCGAGATTATCATTTATTAGTCCATCATTTTGCAAAGAGATTCATCTCCATCTATTGTCATTTACTCCCTTCATTCTATAATATGAGTTTCTCAAGGTTTTTTCATATAAATTAAGAAAAACAATAAATGAATATATCTGTGTACAAGTTTACAAAACTATCTTTGTTACCTACTGGGCATTGACTATTGTCATTTGTCATAAGTATTTAGTGAAATATATTCACTCGGAAGTATTGAACACTATTAATTTTGGGGTATACATGAAATAAAAGAATTTATGTTACGTTGATAAAATGAAACACTTGTTGAAACATTATTTCTTTGCTCAAAAGACACTTGTGTTGGTATGGAGGGAGTTCTGTGCTGTTGTTTCAGTCACATTGTATAGAGAATGAATCCTCCTCCGAGTTTGTAAAAGATTCCATCAGTTTCAGTTTATCATTCTGTTTGTTTCTATTAAAAACACAGACCGTTCTAAGTGTACAGACATTGTAGAGATGAATTGGTAGATTGCACTTAAGCTCTAGTGAGTCTTAAACAGGTGTTCCTTTTATCCTCACAATTTTTGCTTTGTTCTGTTTTTTAATTCATTTTGTCGTGGCAGGCTATTGAATGGCAACTTATTGGAAGGGCAAGTGCCGGATGAACTCTATTCTATTGGTGTGCATGGTGGAGCTATTGAGTATGTCACTTTAATCTGACAGCTTTTCTATGTCTGCTTCTACGTAATGTGTTCTGATTGAAATATCTGGTGACTTATCTTCCGTATGTTAATAGGTCCTGTATGTTTTTCTTGTGTTTGTGTGAGATTTTCTGTTGGTGTGCACTTGTCCAAAATAAGCTGCTATTAGTGCCGCATCCTCCTAGGCTCATGGTATCATCTGCCATCAAAATTTAATGCTAAACCTAGCCTCAATATAAAATCTTATGCAAATATCCTTCTATCTCCTTCCGTTGTCAGTTGTTTCTTCAGCTTTGTAGTTGTACTACCAATTTTGGAATAAGGATATTCGAGTTTTGTTATTTTTATATATTGCATGCTTTGGAAAATCATCAATGTTAAATCACCTTCAATATGACGCAATAGTTTTGATTTTTCCTTTGTTTTACTGAAACATTTTATAAAATGAACAGATGAAATGATTACCATTGCAAACTTGTTAGCTTTGTTCAGATGATGGAGAGTTTTTGAATAGTAGTAGTTGTATGATCCTAGGGTTTACTGAGGTATAAAAATAGTAATGTAGTATATCAACAAATGACCAGGTTATGATGTACCTACTTAAGTATTTCAATGAGAAATAATCTATGTGGTCTTCAATTTGTTGTGTTTTTTTTGTAGCCTCTCCAGCAACAAAGGTTTGTGCGGTGTACCATCTCTGCCAGCTTGTCCTATGTTTTGGAAGAATGGCAGATTATCTACTGAGGGAAAACTTGCTATAGGCTTGTCTAGTCTTTTTGTTTTCTGTTTTATACTACTGCTGGTCTATATCTATATCAGGAGGAGAAGGAATGATTATGACTTTGCTCTGCCTCATGAATTGACAGGTAATTATGATTTCAAGAAGATTAGTATGGAATTAGAAAACAATTTTTCTGAATTTTACTTCAAAAACTTAATGAAAGTACAATTACTAAATTGTTTAAATATACTACGCTATACCAAACAAGCCTAATTAATTGGCTGAATACGATCTGTACAGATAATTACAAAATATAAGATCATATTTACTACACTTCCCTCAAGCTGGTAAATTGATATATATCATTCTCAGCTTGCAAATAAGTTGGACGATTTTTTTGATTGGTAAGCTCAGCTGATTTCAGAAAGCTATTTAGACTGTAGTTATCAATCCACTTTCCTGCTTCTCTTAGATGAAATGTCGTTCTATCTCAATTTGTTTTATCACGTCATCCTGCTGAAGAAAATCATCGATACAAATAGTTGGTTTTTATCATAACACTGATATACTAAATCTTGCCTAGTGTGAGCATGTAAATCAACTTCCCGACTAATCTCTGGTAACGAGCCGTGTCAAACTTGGCATTTTTCTCTTAGAAAGCCATCCTGTGATTTTACTCAACGGGAACACCGGTAGATTTACATCAAAGTTTGTATGTTTCCTGCAAAATATCGACCATATACTTCCTCTAAGAGTTAAAAATACCTTGTTTTGAATTGGCCACCTCGATTCTCAAGAAATACATGAGTCTCCGGTCTTTCATTTCAAACTGAAGATAAATCCACGTTTCTCCCTGAGCACATTCTTATGTTAAACAATCTTGTGTTGGTAGGCCATTTAACTCTCCAAGTCTTTTTAATTTCTTCACTTAAAATTCATTTTTTGGATGGCTCTACCTATAACTAATGAAATATCCTCCCTTTCATATTCTGACATGGAATAAAAAAACAAATGAGAAACTCAATTGTTTCTTTCCAGTTTTGTTTTATTCAACTTGGTATGGGTGTCTCATGTAGTAGGACAATCTCCATTTCATTTGTCCATGTTCATGTTGTCTGGTTTTGGACACAAAGGGCTGCGCCTTTCTCGTTATTTCTTTTTTAATATGGTATCAAGAGGAGCTTATTGATTTATTATACGACCAATCAAACATTGATTAGAGATATAGTCAAATTAGTTCTTATAAGGTTTGGCGATCATCAATTTTTGAGTTAATTTGCGGGGTTGAGTTACAACCAAAATTCCTTGAATCATTATATTTTTGAACAAATTGAAAAGATTAGGGCTCAAAATTGACATTCGCCGGAATCAATGATTTTAGGGAAATCCTGTGATGTGACAAATGAAGAAAGAATTTGGACAGAGGGAAATGGAGAGATGCATCAGAATTGTTTTATTTATATAGAATTATATCTCTTATTCTGTTGTCTGTTGACCTTTTTGTTGTTTAATTTGCAGCATTAGCCGCCAAGAGAAACCGATATCAGAGGCAAAAATCCTTGATGGTTCTTGAGATGGAGAGTCAACACGCAAGGGGACAACCTTCACCTTCTGCCATACAATAACCATTTATTTTTCAATAGAAATGGAATATTGATTGTCATAATTTTCGGCTAAACATATACTGACACAGCTTAGAGAGGATTTCAATTGTTTCTGCGCCAATGCCAAGCCACGATGTGACAACACTGCGTTTTTAAGAGGGAAAATTGCTCTTGGGGCCTATCATTGTCGTACAACTCTGTCTTGTCAAAGATTCTGGATACCACTTAGGCACTTACTATTATGCTTGTTCTGTGATTAGTTGTTCCTGGCCCCATCAAACAAAAGCATTAGCCGCAGCGTTTGCTGAATGTGATGCCAACAACACATCAATATATGAAATTTGATTTTAGAGTCACAATTCAGTGTACATATTTTTCTTTCCACGTCAGTTCTGCTTGACTCCTTTAACTATACTGATTTATATGCCTACTAAGAAGTGACTGGACCTTATTGTACATGGTGTTTCAAGCCTTTTCATTCGATCACACCATGACTTAAACTTGCTTCTAGATAACGAATGCCCCACATTGCAAATGATTTTTAAAATTTTCTTCTTCTGAATTTCTATAGTAATATTACAAAATGTACTATGTGTGGATTGGTTGATACAATGTATTTTATATAATATTAATTTATCATTTTCTGAGCTGGGCAAATGTATAATAAGATTGGTCCAATCCGGCCAAAACACTCCACTAATTGACATACAGGTGGACCTTCGCTCTGGAACATTATGTAGGAGCACAACCTCACTTGCCATCTTGATTTGCATCTGACAGTCTTGATGATTTTGATGGTTTCTATGTTCTACTGTCATACTCTAAATTTGTCTTAACCTTTCGATATATCTGATTTAAGTTTCTCAATTCATCTGCATGCCATCTATTAGGTCGTTTGCATGCATTCATTAAATAAGCAATCTTGGATTCTGGGATCCGTGTACATGGACATAGTTTGAGATTTCTACATCATGCAAGCATGCTTCAATTGATGTTCTTCTTGGTCATGGATTAGGATTTATTTCCTTATGCTTGGGTTTGTCAAAAGAACTATGATTTGACCCTATAACTGTCATGGGTTCCTCTCCTAAACACTTGAGTTTATCTATCTCATGAGAAATGACTTTCATTGTTGCTTGTGATACAAATTATCCCTTTGACTTCTCTCAAAAGCTTGAACTTAGGGATGAAGTCTCTTGGGAATCATGGATTAAGATACATCCTCCTATGTTTGTGCTCATCAATTGAAGTATGGTTTTTTTTAACAAGGTCGTCACATGGTGCATCTGAATTAGGGTTTCATTGGACTTCCTTCATTAATCCAAAGCTTAGATTACAACGCGTTGGCTACAAGGATCCATTTGGTTTTATCAAATTAGGGTTTTGAGTACCATGATTCAAGGGCGGTTTCTTCAATCAATTATTGCTTCAAATGCAAGGCTAAGAATAATGCATACATGATCAATCTTGATTCAAATTCTCGTGGAAGCATATGGTGTATGCCATGGATTCAGTTTGAAGATGCATGGATAAAGTCTTTGATTTTGGTCAAAGTCAACTTAGGAAATTGACTTTTTGACCAAAGTTCTACCTAGATTGTCATCTAATACAAGCATGGGATTCAAGCAGTTAATTAGGATGTCATCCAAGATTCAAAAGGTGGAGTTGATCCAATTTCTTGTGGAAATATGAGATGGTACACAATTGATGATTCAAGATACCATATGGATCATGTTTCTTTGGCTTTGTGTCCGAAGTCTCATCTAATATTCACACACTCATTGCTTTGGATTCAAATGTTGGCAGATTAAACAAAGATCATGGCCTGGAAATGGAGGCATGGAGATTATATCGAAATCATTTCGTATGTTTCAAAGTTCAACGCGTGGGAGGAATGTACTTAGAAAAGGTTCAAATTCATTCATATTGAAACATTACATAACGGAAAGTTATAAGACATGGCAAGAAATCCTAAAGTTTCCATGAGCCAAAAGTTGTCCATGAATTCTGTCCAAAAGCAAATCCACTCCAGTTTACGAAATGCCTCGCCTTACCTCCATGTCATGACTAAATGTGCAAGTGTCCATGCCTTGTTCTTCAATTCTACACCCCATCCAAAACCTAAATAAACCACAATTGAAAAAAAATAAGATAAATTCAAAACATCCCCATAAACATGTGTACCAAGCAACTTCAACTCATATGGAATGTTGAAGCACAACCCAAAAAAAATCCAATACATTCCATTCACAACCAGGCATACATATCTTCATTCAAAATTCATTTCAATAATAGTTAACTTTAACTAGCTTCAGCCCTAACATTACTAACAGAACTCTCAAATTTTTTACACATAAACAGAACCACATTCAATTAACCCTAACAGAATTTCAATAGAAAACCAACATCCATTAATTAAAATAGGTCATGGGAAGGAAAAGAATAAAACCAGTTCAAGAAAACATAAACTGCTCATGAACTAGTCCATAAAATTGATCCAAAAGCAATCCAAACCGAGCTAACCTTCTAACAGAAAATCAGAAACGAAAAGTCACCTAACTGAAACTACTAACAGAGTTCAAACATCAACTTCCATAACAGATTTGCGAGCTCATAACTAACTGAATCTAACTTCCATAACTAACTCTCAATCTCCACCCTTGATTTCATAACAAACTTCCTTTGATCCTAAGGCCAATAACCACTCATCCAAAACCATCATCTTCACCTTCATCAATCTATAAATCCTAGTTCCCTCCAATTCTCACGGGCACACGCCATTGTCCATCTTTTTCACCTCTCTTTTCTCAGACTTCACCCTCATTCTCTCTCTGAACCTCTCATCCCTCTACAACACACACCCAGCTCTCAAATCTCTCTCTGACAAATGCCATAACAAGAGCACAAAGCACAAAGCTCAACAACAACAACATCACAACTGTTGGAAATCTTGATATGACGTTAACTTGGAGTGGGAGTTGGAATGGTTTATTAACATTAAATGGACAATAAATGAGCATAAGTAAGAACTAGTATGAAAGTGAATTTGAAAGGATTCATTTTAGTCTCACATAAGAAGGAATACAAATATTAGTAGTGCATATATATTCCAACTTGGCCAATTGGATTGGCCCCATAAGTCATCTAGACACACGCGCGCGCGTGTGTCGCCGCCGTCCGACTCAGTTCGGTCTAGATGAATTAATTTTTGGAACCCGAATTAGTGGAAATTAATTATCATTAATTAATTCGGTGGAAATTAAAAATAAAAAATTAATTAATATTAATATTAATTAATTACGAAATGGTGACGTGTCCTGGACTGAAACCAAGTCTTAACCTATTTTTTGACTGGTTATGCTTGTCCTCCAAGAGTCATACGTGTACGTGTGACTTGCTGACTGGTTATAAGCATTCCAGAATTTATAATTCTCTTCTCTCTCTCTCTCTCTCTCCACTCTACTTCATCTACAAAATTTTCTTTTTTGTTTTTGACTCGCTTACTAAGCGATCAACGACTGGAAAATTTCAGATACTACGACTGGTTTTATACCATCTGAAGGTATAATTCTTCGAACGATTTATTACAGTGCAAGTAATAATCGTATTTATGAATGGGCTGTTTTATCCTGGAGACGTCGTCGAAACTTGACTGCATTGCATAACTATTGGCAGTACGACGAAATTTCTTAAAGAAAGCGACCTAGTACGCGACTCGTCCCGATAATTTTTCTTTGTGGCATTTTTTCAAAACCGGAAACAATAATTTTAAGACGTTTTCTTAACTGCCATGACTACTGAGGAAATTATCGGTACTATTGTGTCCGCTTCTGTCTCTGACAAACCATTTAAGTTTGAGGGTTCCAATTTCAAACATTGGCAAGCTAAGATGAGATTTTTCTTAAATTTAAAGAGGGTTGCCCACGTTCTGACTAACGATAACCCTGTTGCTCCTTCTGGATCAAATGAACTAAATAATGGTAAGACAATTATGGAATCAGACGGGACTTCTAAAACGTTTGACTTAGACTCTACTGCTAAAGCTGCGGTAGATAACTTACAGTTCTGAAAAGAAATCACCCTATGGCAAGAGAATGACTACCTATGCAAAAATCACATTCTGAACAGTCTTCTGATGATCTCTACGATTACTACAGTAATTACAAGACTGCTAAACAGGTATGGGAGGCTCTGCAGAAGAAATATGATATTGAAGAAGCAGGTACAAAAAATATGTTGTCAACCGCTACTTGAATTAAAAAATGGTGGATGAAAGGTCTGTGGAATCTCAAAGCCACGAAATTCAGAAAATTGCTCATGAAATCATAATTGAAGGTATGCCCCTCGATGAACAATTTTAGAATGCTGTTATAATTGACAAACTGCCCCTTGGTTTTAAAGATTTCAAAAATTTGCTTTGACATAAAACTAAAGAATTTTCAATCGAGAGTTTGATTAGTCGCCTCCGAATTGAAGAGGAAGCTCGAAGACAAGATCAGAAAGATGAAGTCTTAGTTGTTTCAAACAACAAAAAGAAATTCGGTGCAGTTTTGAAGCCTACGGGCAGACCTTTAAAGAATCAAAACCGTAATACTGTGAACCGAATTAAGAATGAGAATCCCTCTAGGGCCCCATATGCTCAAATTTCTAGGCAACAATCACCACCTCAGAGAAATGATGCTCTGATTTTCACTTGCTACAATTATGGGAAACCGGGTCATATGGCTAAGAAATGTAAGAGCTGGCCTAAACCTGCTACTGGCTCAAATGCACAGGTTAACCTGACTGATGAAAAATTCATTGCTATAATCATTAAAGTCAACATGGTTGGTGGAAGTGATGGTTGGTGGATAGACACTGACGTCTCTCGTCATGTTTGTTATGATCATGCTATGTTCAACACATACATGAATGCTGAATATAAGAAAGTGTTATTGGAAGATGCTCACACCACTAATGTTGCTGGAATTGGAGATGTTGAGTTGAAGTTCACCTCAGGAAAGACTTTGATCTTGAAGGACGTCATACACGTTCCTGAAATTAAGAAGAATCTTGTTTCTGGTTTTCTTTTAAATAAGGTTGTGTTTAGTCAAACTATAGGGGCAGTTTTGTACACCATCACTAAGAATGGTATTTTTGTTTAGAAAGGGTATGCCAATGATGACATATTTAAGTTGAATGTTGATTTGAATAAGATTTGTCCTTATGTTTACTTTTTGCGTGATCTTAATATTTGGCATGCTAGACTTTGTCACATTAATAAGCGAATTATGTATAATGCAAGCAACTTAGGCCTGATTCCTAAATTAAATGTCAATGATTCAAATAAATGTGAATATTATAGTCAAGCTAAAATAACTAAGACATCACATAAATCAATTATTAGAGAATCTGATCCCCTAGATCTTATACACTCTGATATATGTGAATTAGATGGAACTTTAACTAGAAACAGTAAACATTATTTTATCACTTTTATTGACGATTGTTCTGATTATACTTATATATACTTAATAAAGAATAAAAGTTAAGCACTTGATATGTTTAAGTTGTATGTAACAGAAATTGAGAATCAACTTAGTAAGAAGATTAAGAGACTTCGTAGTGATAGGGGAACTGAATATGACTCTGGTCTATTTAATGATTTTTATAAAGAACATGGAATTGTACATGAAACGACTACTCCATTTTCTCCTGAAATGAATGGTAAAGCAGAAAGAAAGAATAGAACTCTTACTGAACTTGTTGTTTCAATTATGATGAATTATGGTGCTACATCTCACTAACAGGGGGAAATTTTATTGACTATTTGCTATGT